CCCCCCCACACGCTCCCTCTGTCTATACTCCGGGTGGGTTCTCACCTGTTTGTGGGCCGGGTCTCCCGCAGAGGTTTTCGGGAACCAAAGAGGTGTCCCCACTTGATGCCCCCAGGTGAAGGCTCTGAGGCCCCTTCTTCATTCTCTGCTGGTGGGGCAGTGGGACCTTCCCTCTCGCGACTGCGCCTCAGCTCAGCCAGCACAGAGTCAGGGGGGCTTCCCATCCAGAAGGGCCAGCCCCTCTCCCGGCCGAAGGCTTCCTCAGGGGCAGGGCAGGCCTCAGCCCCCTCCACTACTCCCTCTCGGGGTGGTGGGGGCTGGGATGGCCCTCCACATCCTGCTCCTTTCTTTTTCTCACTGCTGCTGCCACTGCCACCACTACCACGAGGGAACCTAGAGCCCTCAGTGGAGCCATCGATGTAGACCTGGGAGCTTTGCATGAGCTGGTACCACCAGCCAGCCTGCCCAGCTCGGGCCCACCTGCCACGTGCTGAGTCCCCAGATGCTGCTGGCACCTCTTCTGTCTCCTCTTCCTCTTCTTCCTCTCCTTCTTCTGCGGCACCCACACCCTTCACCCGCTCCCCATGGGCCACCCTGTCCATGTCTCCAGGGCCCTCGTGGTCCCGGGCCCGGGCCAACTGCAGTGTTGAGTGGGCGGACAGCAGCAGGTCTTGGGACACCCGCAGCAGTTCCTTGTGCTGCCGCTGCTGCTGCAGCCGGTGCTGGAACAGCAGGTGGAGGCTGAAGGGCAGCAGGGCCAGGGGCTGGAGCAGCAGCAGCAGCTCCTCAAAGAGGCCAGGGCACACAGTGTGAGCTGCACTCAGGAAGCCCCAGGGCTGGTAGTGGGTCTGGATGATATCTAGAGGAAAAGAGAGGGACTGATCCACACAGAAGCCAGGCCCAGCCTGAGTGGGACTTTGAGGGACAACTGGCAGAGCTGCGCAGGCTGTGTACTATGCAACTCGGATGTCCTGCAGTGTAAAGGATGCCCTCACAACCCATGTGGTGGCTCTCCGCTTCGAGGATAGAGTCTGAGGTTCCTGGTCACCCTGACTTCAAGACTGCCTGAGTATCCTACTGACTTCAAGGCTCTAACTCAAGCAGAAGCTGGCAAAGAGCTCTGGTTGAAGCCCAAAGCTCTGAGGATGAAAGGTGGAGTGGTCTCCCTCTCCCCCTCCCTCTTTTGAGCCCCTGGGGTCTGGCCTGTATTGGGTGTGAGACAGAGCAGGGTTCTGGGCATTACCTTCATGGTTATAGAGGTGATTAAACCAGAACTCCAGGGACCGGATGCTGTAGGGAGATAGGTGAAGAGAGTTGAGTCTAGTGTGTAAAAGAGTTGAATGAAGTATAGAGAAGACAGAAAGAGGGGTCACACACAGGAGGACCTATAGGTGAACATCTCCCTTCTATGGCAGGGATGCTACCTGGTTCGTTTTACGTAGTATCATTCTGGAAAGTCAGTAGAGATGTGGGTAGGAGGGCGGAACACATGATTCACAGGCTAATCATTTCCTTCTGGAATGGAGTCAGCTTGCACAAGCCCCAAGTCAGAGTAGCTACTAAGTGAGAATACAGGGGAATACCTGGCCCCACAAAGGAGCAAGAATTAATACTGTAACATGGATCCCAAGGTGGTCTTAGGGACAAGCAGGATTTGGAAGCAAGTGCTGGAAATGAGAGGATCAGGGTTTACAAGAACCAGAGAAACTGAGAAACCCAGTTAATTTCCAAATAAGCCAGATTATGGATTTATAAATGCAGAGGACCTTGTTGGTGATCAGTGCCAGGGGCTGTGAGTGCAATGGGAAGGTAGTGACCTATGGAGAGCCTAGAGCTACAGAGGGAGAAAGTGAGCCTGACCGTGGCCAGACCCTGCAGATCCACCCTTTCTTTCTCAGTGGAGGGAGCTGACTCCTCAGAGGAGGCAGTCTGGGCACAGGCCGGCTGTTAGGCAATCTGGCTGCTCCACCACCACATACTCACTTGAGCAGGCCGAGGATGAAGGCGTTGAAGCGCATGGTGTGACTGGTGAGCTCTGGGAATTGGCTGACTTTGTTGTAGAGGCCATGCAAGACCTTGGTGGATGGACCTGGGAGGAAGCCAGGGTGGGAGGTCACATGATCAACTTCTGGACCCCTGAATCCAGTCCAGAGTCCCCATCTTTGCCACCCAACACTTACCTAGCTGTGTAGAAGCCTCAACCACACTCCATGGCATGTTCTTACGTTGCCCAATGATGACATCTAGTACAAAGGCCTTGAGCCCATCCTCCAGCACGGCCCGGACCGCAGGGCACAAGTACTTCAGAACCAGGTGGCCTACATTGGGGCTCACAGAACTGTTCCCCAGCTTTGCCTGCAGATGCCATAGGGAAATGCAGGAACTCATTTGAAGCCCGTCCTTGGTCCCTCCGAATTAGCCCCCCATGGGTCCCCTCTTGCCATCCCCATTCCTAAGTACCCAACGCTGGGCTCTGAATGCAAGTGAGGAAGGGAAGGTGGTTGCACAGAACAGCTGAGGGCCTGTAGGGTAGAGCTCAGCGCTCCACATTTTCTTGCCTACCTTTACCCCAGGATCCCGGCTTGTGCCAAAATGGGCCACAATGAGATCCACAGCAGTGTTAACAGCTTTTATCAGCCCTGTAAGGAAGCAGTTGATGGTGTCAGACTCCTAAACAAGTCCCTAGCCATCTCCACCAGGGCTGAACCCCCCAGTGGGAAGCAGGAAGGGATCTCACGCTTACTCTGTCTCTACATGTGCTCACAGTTCTCATCAAGACATCCAGGCCTGCCCTTTTTCTGTTTTGGTTCAGTTCTGAGACCCTTCCTGTCTTTGCCTCCCAGCCTGGGCCTGCCTCAATGATACCACTGTCAAGACCCTCAATTTCGGGAACCAGCAGTTAGAGTAATGGCTATGTCGCTGGACTCCCATGTAGTCGACCGCGGTTCACATCCCGGACCCGGTGGCTTAAAACTCATGCTGGGCGTGTGTGCGTGCGTGCCCAAGATCCCGAGAGGAGAATGGAGGAGAAGGGATTGCGGCGTGACCATCCCCCCTGGGGGGTGATTTCTCGCTTTCTGTCTCTCTGTCTGTCTCTGTCTGGCTGGCGAGCGCACGCGCCCTATAGCGAAAAAACCTCTCAAAAAAAAAAGACCCTCAATTTCCTCACTCTCTAGCCCTCTTATTGTAATTCCAGATCCAGATCCAACTACCAGTCTGAGAAACCAGGCCACTGGCTGCTGAAGATCCAGAACCTTCACACTAGTGCAAGACAAGGACAATTCTTCAATAAGTGCCTCATCAGAACCCTCTGCTACGTTTTCAAGTTGCCATGCCAAACCTTTACCCTCTTCTCAAGCCCTTGGCTTAACTTCACACAGAAAACAGAGGTGACGGGTCACGAATTCCTTAGGCCTCCCTCTCATTCCAAAATACATAACTCTGCTTATCTATACCGTCCCTCCTGCTCTAACTCCCTTCTTATCTTGGAGGTAGGCAGCTCTTTCTCTTCTTGCACAAGGTTCTTCCCTTCCCCTAAGCTTTGAATCTCTCACTCTGCTTCTGTAAAGAACTTGAGCTGTTTCTTTCTGCCTTTTCATAGGCTCCTTCTCTTATGGTCGGTTCTGTCCCCGCCACTTTGCTAGAACTGCTTTAGGTTCAATGGCTGCTTATAAGCTCAAGTGTTTTTTGTCAGTCCTAATCTTACCAGATGTCACCAACATGCTTACTCGATTTGCTAGGTCTCTGGTACCTTCAACTATCCCTACTACAGAACACTTCAGCATTACTGGTCACACGGCAGTCTCCCTCACTGCACAGGCTCCAAGAGGGAACGGGCTGAAACCAGATTCTTATGCACCTGATAAATGGCCCTTGATCATTTGCACATACTCACAATACACAGGACACAGACTTCTACCTCGTGCCCCAACACCTGCGCTCTCCAGCTCCTTCTCAGCACTTGGAGTTCTAGGACAGGGAAGGAGTCTGCAGGGCTAGATAGCAGTGCAACAGGCATGAACAGCAGTGAGAGCAGAATCCCTGGCCTGAGCTGGGGGGATAGCTGTACCTTTTTTCTGTATCAGGTCAATGGAAATGGCCTCTGAGTTGCCATCTGGGGACAGACAAAACTCAGCCGGAGGCTTCTCAGTCAAGGAAAAGGGGTCTTGGAAGTCTGGGCAGGTCAGTGGTAATGGCTTCACTACTTGACCTGGAAGAAAAAGGAAAAGAAAAACCAAGCAACTTTCTTTTCAAGAGTTCCAACTCAGTTCAGTGCCTCATACCCTCTGAGACACTTCTTTGGCATTGGCTCCTTTTCTAGCCCATCCCAGCCATGGAAGAGCCTGCCCTGGGTGACTGGGGACCTCACCCACACACCATTCAGCCGGCAGTTCAGATGGCCAGCAGCACTGAGGGAGCCAGGGAACTCAAAGATGGGGTTCCTTCGGGCCAGCCGAGCTTCCTGTGGCCTTCGGTCTAGGCTCCCTGACAAACCAGGTGGTCCTAGTGGGTTCTTCCTCCTGTATTCCCGCCACTTGAGGGCTTGAGGGGATAGGTGGTTCGCTGGAAGCAGAACAGATTAGCAGAAGAGACAGACAAGAGTTAGAAGTAAGCAGGGGACAACAGTTCCTAGCTACCCTGTGGTCCATGTAAAACACAAGAGTACATCTCTCCCACAGATGCTGGGGGAGGAGATGCAAACATCTTAACTTCTGACCAAAGGCCTAAGTATAAGAAATCATTCAAATAGGAAGCAGAAGTACTTGGGCAGGGTAGGGGTGGTGCTGACGCTCATACCGTTACTGGGCCTGGAGGCCATGCTGCCCTCACCACCTCCTCGGGCCAGGCTCTCTGTTCGGCTGAAGCCAGATCTCCAGGAGCCCAGAGGTGGCAAGCTTCCTGTCCCATGGAGTCGGTACTCAGCCAAGGTCAGTGTCTTCTGATCCTCCTGTGGCTGCTGGGAGGTAGTAGGCCGGACAACGGGAGGACAAGAGCGGGTCCCTGGGGGAAGGGTTTCAGTGGCGTGGGCGTG